ATCAATAACAAAAAGTAGACTTTTTTTTTTCAAAACGGGAAGGATGCAACAGGTTTATGCTCGGTTAAGTGCATTATGATGTCATCAGCGCTTCGCCCATCTTTCTACGACTTTCAAGAACACTGTTGCTATCTATCCAGCCAGTTTATATAAACCCCATCCACACGTAGAACTAGACAGCAGCATTGATACGAATAAAGCCTCCTTTCCACCCTAGATCCACTTCCACCTGATTTGACCGTTTGCACTCGACCTATTATCTGGATACCATCAGCAACGCATCTTCGAACCACACACTCACAAGACCGCGTTCCGTTGTCGATATGGCCACTTCGAGTTCAATGTCGTTCCTTTTGGTTTAACTAATGCACCTGCTGCTTTTTCGAACATGATGTTCAATGTCCTTGATCCCGTATTGGACAAATGGGTTGTTGTCTACCTCGACGACATTCTTATTTATTCCAAAACCAAAGCTGAGCACCTGTCCCACATCCGAAGCGTCCTTTCGCTACTCCGCAAGAATGGTCTTTACGCGAAGCTGAGCAAATGCTCCTTCATGCAAGAAGAGACCGAGTTCCTCGGCCACGTCGTCTCCAAAGACGGCATCCACACGTCCGCCGGTCATGTTAGAGCCATCCGCGAGTGGCCGCGCCCCACCAAGCAGAGAGATGTCCAGCAGTTTATTGGCCTCGCTCAGTTTTACCATCAGTACATCCGTAATTTTGCTGACATCGCTCTACCTTTGACCGCACTGCTAGGTGAAGGCGTTGAATTTTCTTGGGACCAGGACAAGGAGCACGCCTTCACCGCCCTCAAGGAAGCAATCAGCAAGGCTCCAGTCCTCAGGATTTTCGACCCCGATCTGCCAACGACTGTAGAGACAGATGCTTCAGGATTCGCGCTCGGCGCAGTTTTATTTCAGACGGATGAGCACGGCGAGTCTCGACCAGTAGCATTCACATCGCGGAAGTTCAACTCAGCCGAACGGAATTACCCAACCCACGAGCAGGAGTTGCTCGCTGTAGTTCATGCCCTCAAGCAATGGCGCTATTACCTAGATGGCACGCATTTTATTGTGTACACAGATCATGCGACGCTCAGACATTTTCCAACCCAACCAAAGCTCACCCGACGACAGGCGCGCTGGATGGAGCTCCTGCAAGAATACAGTTTCGATTTCAAGTACAAGCGTGGCGCGGACAACGTCGTCGCGGACGCTCTCTCACGTCGGCCTGACCACCAAGAAGAATCACCACCAGTTGAAGTCAACAATTTGGACATCCGCATTGACCCAGGCTTAAGGCAGCGCCTAGTGGATAGCTACCTCGATGACCCTAGTCTCGGTCCTATCTACAAAAGCTGCCTCGAGGGAAGTCCACCCCCACGTTATTCTTTAATTGATAAATTGCTCTACGTTTCTCGTCGTGGCAACACTCTTGTTTGCATCCCTCAGAAGTCTGACATTCGTTTGCTTCTTCTACACGACGCCCACGATTCTGCTATTGCCGGCCATCTCGGTTTTGACAAGACGTACCATGCCCTTCGACGCATTGTATACTGGCCCAAGATTACCCACGATACTCGACTCTATGTGCAGACATGCGAGAGCTGCCAGCGCAGCAAGCCAAGCCAGCAACGACCTGCAGGATTACTTCAGTCTCTGGAAATACCAGCACAGCGCTGGGAGACAGTGACCATGGACTTCATTGTGCAATTACCCAAGACACCTCGTGGCCATGACTCCATCACCGTTTTTGTGGACAAGCTATCAAAGCAAGTCCATTTCGCCCCCAGCAGCACAAAGGATACAGCATCAGACGTGGCGCGCCAATTTTTTCATAACGTCTTCAGACTCCATGGCATGCCCACCACCATCGTCTCCGACCGCGACTCCAAGTTCACAAGCCGCTTCTGGAAAGAGTTGCACCGCCTCATGGATGTCAAGCTAGCGATGTCAACTGCCTTCCACCCTCAGACCGATGGACAAACGGAACGCGCCAATCGAACTTTGGAATCTATTTTGCGCGCGTTCGTGGATCAGCGACAAACAAATTGGGATTTACTTCTATCAGCCGCAGAGTTCGCATATAATAATTCGATTAATGCCACCACTGGTCACTCACCATTTTTTTTGAACAACGGATTCCATCCTCGAGTCCCGGCCTCACTTCTCCATACCCAAAGCAGCCCCAACCCCAGTGTTACCGAGTTCATGGAGTCACAGAGTTCCGCATTGATTGTTGCACAGGAGGCAATTGCTGCAGCACAGGAACGCCAGGCACGGAACGCAGATACCCGTCGACGAGATCACGATTTTAAAATTGGAGACAAAGTGCTACTCAATGCAGAAGACATCACTGTTGCAGCGGATCGCAATCGCCCGACCAAAAAGCTGCAAGATCGATTTATTGGCCCCTATACAATCCTGGAGCAGCACTCACCAGTTTCTTTTCGCGTTGAGCTGCCACCCACTATGAAGATCCACGATGTCTTCCACGTCGATCGCTTCCGTGAATACAAACCATCACCTGAAGGCCTTGGACAACGTGCACCGGCTCGACCACCACCAGAGATTATTGACGGAGAGGAGGAATACGAAGCAGAGACTATCTTGGACCATCGACAGCGAAACAATAGGACGGAATACTTAATCCAATGGCATGGATACCCCAGGGAGGATTCGACATGGGAACCGGAGAGCAACCTTACGCATTGCACTCGGCTCTTACGACAATACAAGCGCAGCCATGGAGTGTGATTTTTTTTAAAATGGGAAGGTGCAACAGGATTACCACTCGGTTACCAAGCTTCACGGTTACGACACACAGAGCCAGGATGGGAGCCCGGCATCATGACAACACCACTACGACACTATACAATAGGCCCCAGACATGTATATATAGACCCTACTTACGATCATTAAACAGCATTCATTTCTACGCATTCCTACTTGACCACTGCCCTTGACCCCTTGACTCTGCTGCTGTTGCAGTGTCTGGGGGTGTCTGGGGGCGTCTGGGGTGTCTGGGGTGTCTGAGGTGCCTGGGGTGGATCGAAAGGCACCTTTGCTACCAATGCAAACGGTCAAATCAGGTGGAAGTGGATCTAGGGTGGAAAGGAGGCTTTATTCGTATCAATGCTGCTGTCTAGTTCTACGTGTGGATGGGGTTTATATAAACTGGCTGGATAGATAGCAACAGTGTTCTTGAAAGTCGTAGAAAGATGGGCGAAGCGCTGATGACATCATAATGCACTTAACCGAGCATAAACCTGTTGCATATTTGGAATTCAATTTACCGATCGGATTCAATTGCTGACCGAAATGAGGGGCTGAAGAAGTTTGTTATTGAAAATTGTGAGTACATCGAGAGAGAAGGTCAACCACTTGAGGTCGTCGATCGCTCCAAACCCAAGATCGAACTCTGAAAAAGTGTAAGTTTCAAACGCCCGCTGTAATGTCACCCGTTATGTCTCCACCCCTTTCTAATCCTTTACACTCGTTGCCATCAAATTTAATTCCAACCTGGCAACTCCACCTCGCACCTTAAGGATCAACCACAAGCTCTTTCAATCCAGAATACTCACAACTTTCATCCACATCACTCAAATAAAAGAAGTGAGTAGTGAATATATCCGAACAGGCAAAAAGTCATGCACGATTTCCTTTATTGATACATAAGCGTTAGAGCATTTAAAACGCACCAACTACGTCAGCATAAGGTGACGCCATAGAATTTTTTTTGGTTAGCATAAGCAAATACATGCAGTAAAAGAATTTCGGCGCGCAATAACAGAATTATGCAGCTTCAGGATATAAATTATTCTGGGTACCATAGATTCAAAATTAAGTTTATAAATTAAGTTTAACCAATCTGAAAAAAATTATATACCCCACTTAGCAAGACGAATTTATATTTTTTTCTGAAATGCAGAAATGCACAACAATTAAAGATCCCTCTCTTGTTCTCATTGATTCTCTGGACAGTCATATTTCTCACTCCTCTCCTCACTTTTTTTCTTTCTGCCGCCCCTTCTTACTAGGACCATCATTCTTACCAACATCATCTGGATCATTTTTGCATTCTTTTTATTTTCTGTCTGTCTCCTGATTTGTTTATGCACCCCTATTTTTCTTTCTTTCTTCCTGATTTGTTTATGCACCCCTATTTTTCTTTCTTTCTTCCTGATTTATTTATGCACCCCTATTATTCTTTCTTTCTGTCGCCCTTCTTATTTTCCAGCACCATCCTGATCATTGCTAATCACATGTTAGACGTCGAGATGGGGAACGCACCTGGTATAAAAAAGACATAAACTCGAACAACCACTGCATCACTTAACCGACATTTTTCCAAAACATCGCACGGTACAACAACGCTCAGCATATCCCTTTCTTAAGAGCCGCCCCACGAAACTTCACAAGAACTCCGCACTAACCGTCACAACAACATCTCACAGAAACCTTGCAAGGACCCTTGCAGCGCCCTCACAGGTAACCCTCACTATACATATCACTCTTATGAACAGTAAGGAGGGGACTGCTTTTGTAAAAATACAACTAACATGGCGTGTGCGGTCATCATACTTAGGGAGTCATCCTCACTTATTCCAAACCACCTACACTGTTCATCATGAGAGACAGCTTCCCTGAAAACGTCGACTTCTACATCGGCCTCCGCGATACTGACCTCGTTCTTGACGCGTCAAACAGTAGCACCGAACCAGGTTCTGAAATTATTCTTTGGAACAAAAGAGAGGAGGACAATGAGAACCAGAAGTGGATCTATGACGACAAGCAGATTCGCAACAAGAAGACCGGTCTCGTCCTGACAGCTCCCCAACTCTCTCGCAACGTTGCTGTTGACCAGCAGCATCCCACCGGCGCCGAGACCCAGAGATTCGAGTACTACGATTACACCATCTCAGCAGAGGCCAATGAGGACCTTGTCCTTGGCATCCTTGGAGCAAAATCTGAGGGTGCTCGCGTCGCCTTGGTGCCTCGTGACAACGACTCCGACTTGCAGCAATGGACGATCATCGCCTAAATGCGCGATTACCCGTCGTACAGCGCAGGCTCTCAAAGTCAAGTGCCCGGAATAAAAAAATATCATCTTTTGTCAGTAAAAAAAAAAAAAAATCGTACTTTGCTCCAACGGAGTGGAAACAAAAATGTTGAAATACTGATCCAAAATCAAACTGCGCAATGAATGCACAATCAAAAATGTCGTGGATACATAGGAGAGCGGGGTACCCACGACAGAGAGCCTAAACGATTTCTTTTGAGATACTGCAACCATCAATCAGTATAAAACCGGAGTACCTACTAGAGTCCTCGCATACAATATATTTTTATAATAGTTGAATCAATTCCATAAATTAAAGTTCACTGTTGTGCGCACCATTAGAATCTTCCAGAGCATGCGCCCATGGATGGCACAATCAGTAGTCCATCTCATCCGCGTTCATGAATCAACCATTCAAACTAGAGAAATGTCGGACGGCGGCTCCCCGGTGCCCTCAACCAAATCACCTATACGAAACTGGTCGATTTTCAATACACCCGCAAAACGCGACGCTCTAACTATTACAATATCGCCCACGCCAAACCCGTTTGTGGCTTTTTCCGGGTCCTCAACACGCAACGCATGGTGTAAGAGTTTTGTGTGGAAGAGCTGCCAAGGTGAGTCTTGGGACAAGAGGATACTGGAGACAAGGAACTTTATGACAGGGACTAGGACTAGACAAGACTTGTGATATTCTCTAGGAGTTAACTTACTAATTAAACAATCGGACTGAAGTCAACGAGAACAAGAGAGGGTTTTATTGATGACAGGTACCAACAGGTCTTTTATAGTCCCTGTAGTTACTAGTCACAGAAGACTCGCTAATACGTCGTAGAAATAAAAATGGAGGTGCGACTCAGGCACATAGTGCCCAAGCCCCACACCAGGTTGGAACACCACAAGACTAACTAACTAGCTAGACTAGGCGCGTCCTTTTATAGTTGTCTACAGCTAAGTATTACTAAGCTGGGTCTTACTAATAAAGAGAATGTTCTGGATGGATCTGGCTGTAGGTGGGTATCCACCTAGGCTAACGGGACTCCTAGGCTTTTCTAGAAGAGCCCGAAGCCCTCTGGTCTTGTGCATGTGACCACCGTCCAATCACAGAGATACAAATCTCTGACACATGGCTTTCACGCTTTTCACCTGCGCAGGACGCGACATCTACAGTCGAATCTGGTTTATCGGTGTCACGGATAGCACCATAGCGTGTGGTGCAGAGTGACAGTTGAGCTGCGCACACAATTGCTCATATTGATTTGTGACTGCTTCTACGCGCTCACACGCTTGCACGCGTACCTCTGCCACCGTATGCTCCGCCTTGTCTCGATCAACATATATTCAACGAAGTATCTTTATTGATATTGCCATTGTCCGGCCCACCTAGAACCATTGTCCGGCCCGTCTAGAACCATTGTACCTGATCCATACCTTTGTGCTATTCCTAGCGAATATACCTCGCGTCCCGTAGTAGCCATCCGAGTACCCTGACCAAGAATCCTAGAAACACATAAATAGAGCCATAGAATCCATAGCATATAACCTCAGTCTGCAATACATTTCTTCCTTACCTTGTCCACTGTCTGTCTCCTCTGCGAAGTATATATGAACCAGGAGTCAATGAGAACAAGAGAGGGATCTTTAATATTAATCCACCGAGTAACATATAATGTTCTCGGTGGATTAATATTAAAGATCCCTCTCTTGTTCTCATTGACTCCTGGTTCATATATACTTCGCACTACCTACTACATCATCGATCAACTTGGCAGCAAATACAGACAATGAACACAATAGGAAAGTTATTCATCTTGACTCTGCCCTTCACTCTACCCTGTCCTACGCCATATGTCCTTCTGGCGATAATTTTTGCGCCTAGCCCGATCTTAACAAACGGACATTACTGCTATCTTCATTTTTTGATCATTGTGCGACGCACAGGGGTTCGTAGGGATAAATCAAACGCGTACTCATTAGTTAAACATGCTGCACACAAACGCGCCATATAATCTGCCCCTCAAACTTCATCACTGTGGCGGATTTCATTTGCCTCTGCGGCTTTGTTTGCCCTCAACTAGTATCCACGTGCTCTTCTGATTTTTCAGCTTTGCGATTGCATCCTCTGTTCCTTCATCGTCATCGATGAGGGTCGTGAGAACGATGAGCTGCTCCAGGTCGGATAGTAGCTGTTGGCGTTCCGACTTGAATTGCATGGGGGACCGGGTTGATGGCTTCGTTCGTCTTGATTGTGCGTATTTTGGTATGAACATTTTGGCGCGTTACGAAACATATCAGTTCTCGAGGTGATGTGTATTGCAAACGCGTTTTGGTCACAAACGCGCGTCGATATCTGCCCACGAAAAATTTATATGTAACACGCCGCAGAATGTCAAAGTTTGAAACCCCCTAATAATATGTGCACAGCAGATACACACAGATGCACACCGGATGCACACCAGGGTGTGTTTGGTATATAAAGCACTATGCATTAACTGGTACCTTGAGGTTTCTTCACTTGGTGTGATTCTGCTGGGCCGTCCGTTCCTGTACAACTAGTCATGACATACAGGTGGCGCTTTCCCATGCTGTCCCCTTCTGTCTCTGCTCACTGCCCTCCCACTCTCTTGCACGCTCTTGCTACCCTCGTACTTAGTAGGCGCTCATTGAGGAAATCAGGCACCGCCTGCCATCAGGCTGAGTTTATTTTCTTTCCTCGTGAACACTACTGAGCTGGGTGCATTCGCGTTGCGTTGCGTTGCGCAGGTAACGAGTGTCGCATATTTCAACAGAGTTCACTGTATTTATTTAGTTTAATAAGTGTACCTTCAGCTCACTATTATGGTTAATACAAATAAATACCCAATCGGTGTGGTGTGTGGAGCCACATCATTCAATCTCCCCAAAATATCTCAACGAGCACATGGCGGCATAGTGTGTCTCGATCCTTCTTGTTCCTCATCACAAACTGCCTGTATGAATTCGGGCTTTTATTCTGCAAGCGAGCGTGATGCTATTCGCGCTCGCGTGGTCTTTTGTTTGAATACATCGCATGATCACTGCCACGTAACTCCTGCCCCGAACTTGAGCTCGGTGCAAATCGCGTTCTTGGATGGGGGGTCCTCGACGTGCGCTCCTCCATCGAACTATGATTGGGAATGAACTCTACGGGATGTATTTGACTTGGGATGCACTTAGTGTCGCTCACTTGTTGAAGGGGTTGCGCTTGGTAGGAGTTTGGATCAGTACAATGGTCGGTTCAGTGTTGTTGTCGCGAATCGTGCATAGTTACTCCTGAGTTCTTGATCATGCTTCCGTTCTGAGCACTGCCTCATAAAGAGGCGAGCGCGAAGTATTTATTTAGCTCAATCATTTGTATCTCTTGCTTCTATATCGATTACCTTGAATAAACTCTCACTAACCACCCTGAACTACACATATAAATTCCATATTCCATACAGACACATACACCTACACTCACAGACCCGAGCCGGAACGGATAATGCCGTTACGAGTGAGGGACCACGACAGTTGAGCTCGGTTCAGGTGTATAAAAAGATCAAGCACTCACATGGCCGTGGTTCGGTTCCGCTAATAAGGCGCATCAGAGTTTCCTGGCCTCGCCCGATGTCCTGGAGCTGCTCGTGCAGCTCTAACACGGCCATCATCGAATAAGTTAGTGAATCGCACATGGCAACGCGGAGTGGAAGAATGGTCGTGCACAAGACAAGTCCTACCATCGTGAGAGGAGCTGACGGCAGCGAGAGTGCGCTGCTCAAGTTGTTTTATAGAAGACTGGATGCCATCCTGGACAGATCGCAAAAGCATGCTGTTGGACAGAAGGAATGAGTCAGTGGTCGCCTCAAACTTGTCGGTTATCCTTGCGATGGAGGGCGACGCCGAGATCAATGACTCCACGAACCTCTCCTCACGCTCGGTTCCGCCTGTAGAGCTGGCGTTGGATGATGGTAGTACAACCGTGCGCAATTCTGAGGATGTTGCAGTCCGTGGAGGCGCTGTTTTGACTAATGCTTGTGAGGCCATCTTGATGTGCTGACATTCATTGTGATGCCGCGCAATAGAGCCTGTCGAGAGAACAGACGAATTCCCACAGGGACACACAAACTTGTAGCCGCCATTTGGGTCGCGATGCATTGTGATCTGTCTCTTAGTATGCTTGCAAGTAAATTCGAATGGAACGTTGGTATGGACCGTATTCTAGTGTCGTGATTGCAATGCTGAGAGTTGACTTTCGTTTCCGGTTAAGCCCTTAACACAGTGTTCGAAGGAGCATTCCTGAATTCTCGACTGTTTTGATGGTCTTCCACCCGTTGAGTTGTGCTGTAGAGTTGTCATAATGCTAGAAAGTGGCGCGTGAGTTGATGCCTCAGAAGACAAGAAAAGTGGAGCGATTTTATAAGATTAATTTTTTAGTGACCAAAAATTCATGCGACGTAAACGTGCGAACACTAAAGTATGGTGAAGAGTGCGAGAAAGGAAGTAGGTTTTTTTCATGAGTGCTTTCCTTTTTTTTTGTCCGCACCAACATTCATTGTACCCCTGCCATAAAGCCATCTTCGAGGTTACCACCATGCATAACAAAAAAAAAATTATAGCAGCATGTCTACTCTAGCATATCAGCTTTTAGGCGCTCATGCACTCATGCATTTTTTTTCTTTTTACACTAAGCTCAGATAATGCGTGCATGCTGTCCTCTTAATGAAGCATGTCCACTTTCCTATTCTAGAAAATCGCATGCAGAAAAAAAATATGTTGCACTGTATCTACATGTAGCATGTGTATTCTCCTTTCGTCGCATCGTTGTATGTCTCGTCGCATCGTCGCATCGTCGCATGGCTTCGTCGTATTGTCGCATGGTTTCGTCGCATTGACTCTCAGGCGGACATGCAGCAGCGAGCGAGAGTGACTCTCAAATCGAGAGTACAGATGCTACAAGTTATTTTTTTTTTTTATTTTTTTTTGTTTGCATTGACTTGGTGCCTGAGCTTACAAAAAAAAAAAAAGGAAAGAATCTTGTAGCATCCAGCATGCCCACTCTGATTTGGAATGTCGCCCTACCTCACAGCAGCATGTCTCCCCCTCGACTCGAGAGTTGCCTCCATCGATCCGGCAATGACCAGGCGCTGAATGAAGGCAACAATGGATGTAAGATTTCTTTGTCCATCGTCATCGTCTGCTCTTGCGTTCTGGATATCCAACTTTCTGATAAATATACATAGAAGCGCCCTCCCAGGTTGCATGTTCAGAAGGGATAAGCTTTACCACCATAATCTTTTCATTTTTTTTTTTACGGATTCGGGTTCTTCATGTATGCTCGGCATGTTCAGGTTGTTTGGTGCACGCTTTCTACATGCGTCAAGTCTACAAGTATCAATCTAAGCATAATATGAGATTTCCTAATGATCTGCGATAAGACGAAAAGCAACGATCTAGCATTAAACTATCGTGTGCTCGACATTGCTTGAGAGGTCCAGCACAATAGTTATGTTGTCGTTTGCGTGTAGTATTTTTCGAGGTCGGATGATGGATCTCGAGCTGGTATGGGATATAAAACGCGAAAAGGATAAGAGAGAATGATAAAGATTAACTACTGGTGATAAGCAGGTGAAATCGAGAAATCGAGGAGGACGTGTCAAGAGAGGGGAAAACAAAAACAGAAAAAAAAAAAAAGAGGTCCGCTAGCAAAAGTCATCATGCTGAGTTGAACCATGCATATGGTAGCGACTATCACTTCCACCAGCCGCTCCAACCGATGCGCCATTGGCACTTTAACTTCCTGACTTATTGCCCTAAATCGGGGCAATTTAAGCGGTAGACCTATGACCTCGGAGACCATGGCAGGGCCGTCTACCGCTGCACCGCCACCAGCAACACAGCCACGACGGGTGGGTACACCAATTGCTATCCCAACCAACCCATTTCACTACCCTTCCCTTACCCCCCCCTTCCCCTACCCCTGGTACGCGAGCAAGAGTGCCAAAGACAACAAGCAATATGCTGAGCGGAATCCAAAAAAATCCGCTTCTTCATCGGCCTGATGAGGAGGAACTTGGAATGGCCAATTCCAAAAAACCGAAGCCCATCGGAGGCACTCCAGAGACTAGACAGACCGTCACCAACACCGGGGCCACCACCCTGAGTGTCAAGAACGTCGCCGAAGCAGCTTCCGGATCAGGACAGCGCCGTGCCGCTTACAACAACAAGTTGGGCCTGAAAGCCATGCAGGCCGCAGAGCAACAGGCCCTCGCTGAAGTACAGACAGAGGAACAAGACGAAGATATGTCGGAAGCAGGAGAGACCGACAACCGGATGGAAGTCAAAAGCACCAAGGAACGTCTCTTGGTGGCAACAGCACCTGCGGACAGTATCTATGGAGACATCCACGCGGAGAGGCTGAATAAACTGAGAGTGATCTTGCTCACGGACAGGATCAACTGCATCGATGGACCGGCTAGGGCCAAAGATCAAAATGGAGAGACGGTGTACCGCGTTGCAGTCGCTACACAAAAGGGCATGGATTTGCTGTTGATATCAGCGTCAGCGAGGAACTCGAGGACGGCACCACGACTGAGCAACAACTATTCACAAGAATGGATAATACTCGACGAGTGGCGGAACAGGAGAGAACTGTGGAAGTGTACGGACTGCACCCCCGTACGGACGATTTCCACATCAAATCGGCGATGTCCCAGTTCGGAGACATTGAAAAGATCAGCACACGCCCGTGCACCAAAGGTATCAAGATCATTGTCAGAGTGACCTTTAGGAAGGTGGGAGCTTTGGAAAAAATTCAAAAGATGGGCAGAAAATGGGTTTTTATCGGACGGGACTTAGCTCGCCTGAGCATGGTCGGGAATGAGAGAATTACATGGGAACTGAAAGACGTGGCGAAGATCCCAAACCTCCCTTTTGGAACCAGAGCAAAGGACCTGGAAGAGCTGCTTGGAGAGAAAAAGGCAGAATTTTTAACTGTGCCCAGAGTGTCCACCAGGAATGGCAGTCAGACCATGAACCTGAGAGAGGCATTCGTTTATTTCTCGTGTGAAGAGGAGATGGAAAAAAAACATGGCTACACCTGTGCGCATTAACGGACATGACACAATCTGGTGCGACAAAGAAGAGAAAAGATGCAGAGAGTGCCACCAACTGGGCCACTTCCAACGTGAATGTACCGCTTATCAAGAGCGTTTGAACATCAAAGAGCACATCAAAGCAGTGAAGGAATACCAAAAGGGTGGTGCATTGAAAGTTACAAAACAGCAATCGTTTGCACAGATCGCGAGCGGCAGTGGAACAGGAACAAACCAGAAGGATGGACAAAATGGACGGACCCAGCAACAGCAGCAACAGCAACAGCAGAAACAGCAACAGCAACAGCAACAGAAGAATCAGGGACAGCAAGGAGTGGATGACAGGTTGATTACCGCATTGGTGAATCTACAGGAAACGATTACAAGGATGGACGAGAGACAGAGAGAATTAACTGAGCAGTGTTCAGCACTCACAGCCATTGTGCTGCACATGATGCAGGAGAACAAAGCCAGCGCGGTCCCTAAGGAAATGCTGCAGGCTGCTGGACTAAGCACGGAGTTGCACAGGAACATCATAAAAACGGACAAAGGCAAAGGAAAGGCAGTGGACACAGGCATTCCAGGAACACATGTCAGTATCGGTAAGATACTGGCGATAGGTTCTGTGGATCCAAAACGACACCCGTTGCCGATAATGAAGAATGGACAGACCTCTAATTCATCATCAAATAATGAATAAAGTCAATCAACACGCAGAAACCCCTGAACAGACTGTGGACAAACTGAAGATTGGATCATTTAGCGCACGAGGACTTCTGGGCGCAGGAAAACTAGAGGCATTATGCCACTACGCTCAGGATGAAGAGTACGATGTGGTCGGTCTTCAGGAGACCAACTTGAATAGAGGAGGAAAAAAAATGGCATCCAACATCGATCAGAATTACTACAATTTTTGGTGGGTGTGTGGAGAAGAAGGAAAAACAAAGGGCACAGGCGTAGGTCTCCTTCTATCAAAACGGTGGTGGTTACACGCTGGAAGAATATCAACGTGCGGGAGCAGAGGGCAGTCGAGAGATTTCAATTTCAAAGAAAGACTGAAAGTGAGAATCATCAATTGCTATCTTCCGAGCCCGGGAGGCAATGAAGAAAAACAAAAAGAATTGACAGAGGTTACAGAATGGGTGAAAAAAGAGTGCGAGAGTGCGAGAGCAGAGAGGAGAGAGATTATTTTAATGGGCGATTTCAACGGCGTCAGCAATCCAAGAATGGACAGGAAGAACGACGCCAGGAACACCAGCACACCCGAGACCGACGTGTTGCAATGGCTGGAAGAAAGGCCAATACAGGACGCATTTAGAACAATGCACCCGACCAAGTGAGAGTAAACATGCCAGTCAGTGAGCAGGATCGACATGATCTATCTAGACAGCCTGTTGGTGGACAGGCTGTTAGACGTCAAGCACGACGACGCTAATGGCACTCTATCAGATCACAAGATGGTCACTGCCATCATGTCGGTCCAAGGGCTCATAACTGCATCGTCGGACCCATTCAAGTACAAGGAGCCAAAAGGATTTCGATTCCAATTCCGTGATACGCAGGCCGAGCAATTGAAAGCATTTGGGGAAGCGCTGTCGCTGAAACTATCAGACTGGAGCCAGATGCGGGAGTACGGACTCAAGGAACCCGCGATAGGCATGGAGAACAACGGGGTGGAAGATCTGCGACGGGTGGACATAGAAAAGGCATGGCGTGAATACTCAAAGACCTTGATTCAATGTGCAAAAGACAACCTTCCAGGAAAAATCGTAGGCCGAGCTGGTTTGAAACCAGAAAGCGAACTCTCAGTGTTGCACCTTGTCCGTGACTTAGGCAGGATGAAAAAACTGGCAAGGGCGATTATGCAGCGGCGCCAATTCGACCTAGAGGACGACGCACGAGGAAGGCTAATTGAAGAACAAACAAGATTTAATGAACACGCCAGGTGGTTACGAGTGGCTGCAGAGCGAGAGATAGACGACATGGAGGAGGTACCAGGATGGAATGAAAGCGAGGAGAAGTGGTCGACGTGGTTTAGCGGGATTAAAAAAAAGGTGAACGAGAACACTGCAGGAGCTGCAGACTGAAAGACGGGCGCAAACAGCGGCAAACATGAAAGGATGGATAGAAACAAGGTGCAAGCAGCTGCAGACAGGCACAGGCAAGATGATCGACAAATTACTTGGGAGAGGACGAGGGAGTGTCGTCCTAGACAAGATTCAGGTGGAGGAGAACGGCGCTGCGATCAACATCCTGGAACCGGAGCAAATCAAAAAACATGTGCGTGAGTGGTTCAGGAAATGGCATGGACCTAGGCCAGCCAAACCGTTGGAAGTCGGCTCGCGTTGGGAAAAACAATATGCAGCAGTGGCGAACATTGACGAAGGATGGTACAAAGGGCTTATGGAACCACCAAAAAAGGACGAGTTCAACGCAGTGATCGCGACCGCACCAAAATAAAAAGCACCAGGAGTGTCAGGAATCACCAATGATTTATTCCAACACCAGGGGAGGGCCGGAAATGACATTCTCTTCCAAATTGTGGGCGCAACGATTGTGTAGGAGACAGTCCCAAAAGACTGGAAAACAGGCCTGCTTTACTGCGTCCCCAAAGCAGCAGAGTGGTCAGGAAGCATGGCAGAAGTGCGGCCCATAGCATTACTGGAGCACGCTAGAAAAATCATGTTTGCGGTTTTGACCAACAGGCTGAGCGACATCATGAGGCAACACAACATTTTGCGTGGGCCAAATTTTTCAGTACTAAAGGGCACGACGACAAAAGACCCGATCCACATACTGCAAGCAACCATGGAGGACGCGAGGGAATTTAAGAAAGAGTAATGGATTATTTTCCAGGACATGAAGAGGTGTTTTGACTCAGTCAATTGTACGCCAGATGGCATGCTAGCAAGGGGACTACGACGTCTGCGGGTCCCAGAAGAATTCAACCGACTATGTGAGAATATCGCTGTTACCAAAACTAACAAAGTCATTACAGATTATGGCCTCACAGAAGACTATCATCCGGAGTGTGGACTGGACCAAGGTGGAGTGGAATGCTCGCTGCTGTGGAGAATAGCCTACGACCCGCTGCTCTGCGAGATCATGGAGAACACTACAGGATACCGACTGAAAGGCCCACCTGATACACCACAGGTGGCGGCTCTAGCCTTCGTGGATGACACGACGTGGGTCTCGGACTCGCAAGAAAACATGCAGGAGATCCTGGATGTGGCAACATCTTTTTTTGTACTCAACGGCGTCGAGATCAACACAAAGAAAACACAAGTCATCGTGATCAACCGGGACAAAAGAGCGGAAGACGAACCAATCCGGATCCTAGGTGTATGGGTAATGGCCAGTGGGACAGTGACAACAACAGAGCGCATAGTGGAGAGAGAAGTGAGAACAATCTGCAGCATTCTTTCAACCAAAGCAGTTACCGACAAGCAGACATCATACATCATCAACAACATCCTAATACCCCGCATCCTGTACAGGATTTCAGCACAGATTCTTCCACAATCATTCATGCGCAGGATGACCGGAAAGTACATGAAACTGGCCAAGAGAAAAGCGAGAATGCCATCGACCACGCCCAACAGCATAATGCATCATCAACATTTTTTCGCCGTAAAAAAACTGGAAGATGCACAGGCTGAGGAACAGGTTTCGACACTGACGCAACGGCTGAACGACAAAGGGATGCTGGGACGTATTTGCAGAGCAAGAATCATGGCTCTTCAACGACATTGCAAGATGGATGTCTGTCCACTCACAGAACTGAGCAAGGTCAAGTATTTCAAACACAACTTCGTGCCAGGGGTGTGTGGGGTAATGGCAAACAGGAACATGTCCCTCCGCCTTCACCTGGCACGAGATTTTGGATGCGAACAGGGTGCTCAGAGTATCAAAGAAGTCTTTGGGGATGAGATCGACGAGGAGACACGCGTCGAGTTGGTGACGCACATGATCTACTACGCGGAGCAGCTATTGACACCGGACGGGTCACTCAAATCGTGGAAAGACGTAAAAAACGGCAGGAAAGATCCAAAGCGTTTCCCAACATGGTTCAAAAGCCTCCAGGATCTCATGAACCAAACGAACTACACTGCAGAATTCCAGGAAGAGTTGTACAGACAGAGCAAGGAAGGGTTGCAGCAACTAGACGAGGCACCAGACGAAATGGAAGAAAGTGAGGACTACGTGAGCGACGTAGAGGGACAGACGGAAGACGAGTGGGAGGCTGCAGTTGAAGGGAGGAACAGTATGGAGTGCTGGAGAGGGCCCTGGCGGAAGTACAGCCGGACCAATCATCAGACGGAAACACATCGGACACGCTAGAGTCATCAGAGGTAGAACAGTCGGAGTCGGGGGAGCACCAGGAGACAGGCATCAGCCAACAATAGACAGTTTGCGAAACTGAACTCGACCCTCGAGTTCGCTCGAAGTTCAATAAAGTTCACGCTAGTGAATTTTTTCAAACTCAACTATGCCTCTGAAGCTCGAGTTCGAGCTCTGAACTCGAGGGTCAGAAGCAAAGTTCATTCGGCGTTTTGATTGGCTTGCTACCAGGCGGCTTTGTCTAGATATATGAAAAGAAAAGTCAACATGAGTTTGTCACTCCATTACTTCTCTTCGTCAATGAGCTTCACACAGTCCACCTTTACATCACAGCAGCAGCAACCGCAGTATGTGCCGCAACAGAGTGCCCCTCAGCAACAACAGCAGCATCAGCCGTATGCGTCTCTGCAGCAACAACGTCCTCTCGCACCTCATCCTCCTCGCTTCTCCACGCAACAAGGGCCTCAGCTACCTCGCCCTCCACTTGACCAAGTCTCGCACCAACAACCACCCGCACAACTGCAATCCCAGGAACCTGAGCAAGAGGGAGAGTCCACTCTCCAAAACCGCAATGGATCCACCTCGATGGATACCATGATGGAGCATAGTCAGGAACAGTCGGTTAGAAAGAAGCGCGATGTATGTCAAGGTTTCGCACCAAGGAGCAACAACTACCACGCCAACACTATCACTCTACTCGAGGGCATGATGGGACACCCACCTTTCGTTGGACATGGTCAGAAGAAGGAGGCCTGGGAGAAGGTCGCAGCATATGTCAGGACACAAGGAGGGCGCGACCTAAAGAAGGCTAACTACCTTCTTTGCATGAGGCGATATGATGCGCTTAAAAAAGAATTCAAGCAACAAGAGGCAGCATCACGGAGGTCAAGTGGCGGCACAGAGACTATGACAAGGCAGGATGAGCTTTTGCTGGAACTGGTACAGAAGGAAGACGACTTCGACGGGCATAGACAGCAACAAAGTCAAAGCACAGTGGATGATTTTTCGGCTCAAAACTTGGAGGAGTTTTATGGTCATACCAACAGGCAGGAGTCATTACGACAGATGAGCATGCCCACGACTTCATCGGCCACGGCAGCATCCTCATCATCCATGGATCCCTCTTCTTCGACTTCATCATCTTTTTCTTCCTCAAGTTCATCATCTACCACCACAGCAACATCTTCGAATCCAAACCGCCTGGCAACAGCTGAATCTGTTCGCTTCAACCCTATCAACAGACGCGCTCCGCGATCACAGGCTCCACGAGCAAGTACTGTTGAGAAAAGAATGTTGGAACTCATGGAAAACATCAACGGACTCGTTTCGGATATTCGAAAAAAGATTTAAATTCAATCCTCTTTTTTTTTTTTTTTTTTTTTTTTTTAATACACAGCACTACTATATCCCTTAATATAAACGTTTTGATTGCCTTGTTTAATCATGAAGATACTCATCAAGAGTGGGGGGGTTGACTCGAAACTTGGAAGAGGATGAGTTTGTTTGTCGGATGCAGGAGCGAATGTTTGCAAAAAGGACAGAGCAAATATAGTGGGTGTGCACCTCCATAAGAAATCAGAGAAGGGGAAGTATTGCAGAACGTAACCAAAGCACCACTCAACACCAATTCTGACCTTAGACATACACTCATTGAAACGCTGCTCCTCAGGAGAGATGCCTGCTGTGTGGAACGGCCGCTGCATGATGTCGCTCAGTATATAAGCAGGATCTCCATACAGACTCATCTGGCGGTTGTCATACCCTTTTGCACATGCTCGAAGAATCGGAGCAAGGGCAGACATCTCGAAAAGACGCGAATCATGGCGGTTCCCTGCAAACGGCCCAGACAGGTGAACAATGATACCATCGGGTGTGGCAACTGACTGATACTTCATGGCGTGAACGCGCTTGTGGCCATTGTAGATTTGCTCTTGCCCATCGATTGGACGACAAACTGCACGAACAGTACCATCAATAAATGCAAAGCTTGAAAGGCATGGTGCATTCTGCCTTCGGATAGCATAATGAAGCTCTTCCAACTTGTCGGGGCCGAGACGGATGGGATCCCAAAAGAGTCTTTGCCTCCATCGCCGATAGAGGAACCGAAGGGTGTGGTTGAAAATGCGTGATAGCATAGATTGTGATCGTCCAAAGATATCCATGAGATCAAAGAGGCGGCATGGATATGCAAGTCGACGCAACACGATACAAAGCGCCTCGACAGAGTGAACTTTGGAGCCATTGTCAAGGACGAAGATCTCTGGCGTTCGCAATGCAACAACCATCTCCAGAATGTCCTCCTGGTAAAAGCGGAAATAGAGCTGACAGTTTGGTCTAGGGACTTGTTCGAGATCGAAACGAATGTTGGGTATGCGAGGTCGCTCAATCCTGGGCCGTATTTGCACAAAGTTTCCATGCATCACCTGGATCGCCTGTGCAATAAGTTGTAATACTGGAATGAAGCGCTGCAGCTGCTGTTGAGCATCAGGATCTGGCACAACCTCATCATCCATCCTTTCAACAGCCCCTCTCACTAGCTCAATACCTGCCACAATAGCTTGAACTCTCCTGTCATCCTCGAAGTCTCCCTGCTCCTGCTCGGGTTCATGATCCTCGTTCTCGATCTCGTTGGCAGCCTCGAGCCGCATGTCTTCCAACTCGGCCCCAATCTCATCCACACCAAAGAAATACTCAGCGCGATCAGGAATAACCACCCCCTCCTCTCTGTTCGCGGCCAGGTCAG